GGTTTCATGTTCTCTGCACGTAATAAGCTCGGTTATTAAGCATCCTTTTTTGGGGATGCCCGGTGGCCGAGGGGAAGACGTGTAGTGGCGTGAAGCTAGGCGATTTGGTGCCGTACGCGAGCGCTGGTTCGAGTCACGCACGCAGCACGCAGTACGTATTTACTATAATTAGACATAGTCTTTACCTTGCCGTTTATTCGGTGTTATTTGCTTACTTTACTTCCTATGTCGACAGCAACTATGAGTCTAATGTGATAATGTAATTAAACAATTCAATTTGTATCCTGACTAACATATTGAAAAGAAACCTGGGATTTTGTAGCGATTTTTTTAGTCGCGTTTGCCGTGCGTTTCGCCAGCTCTCCCAGCTACCAACGTTGAAACATTCGATCTGCGATCGCGCAGTTCGCCTACCCAAATAAAATTGAGAGTCATGGACTTTGCCCTGTAACGACACCGTTTTTTTATTTTGTTACGTATTTTTTTGTGTTTTTACAGTGTATTGACATATTATGTACAGTGTATTTTTGAAGGAAAATGGTGTTGACATAAAACTATACTCAAGCAGTGTGCATCTGCTCCAGTGTTCTAATGCGAACTGGAACGCGATGTAACCTATACTTACACACAGGATGTCGCTGGATGTGTTTGTAAAAATCATTTCTGGAGCTGTTAAAATTAGGTTTATCAAAACAACCATGAACGTAATAAGGCGTCCATGACATAACATTTACATGAAATTCAATTACTACTTTTTTAATTTGTATATGTGTTCATACATGCATTCAGCTATACGAGCGTGACCTGGAAGATTGTTATGATTGAGTGCCACAATTTCTGTTTTATGATTTATTCGGTATAATAATACACATGTACACCCCAACAGCAATAGCGAAGAGCTCATTGTCAACCGAGCGAATGTATATCCGCCTCTGTTGGGGTGAACATTTATATAATAGAGGCAGTATTTTTGTACCATTTAGAAAAACAAATATTAACCTCGTGAGCGTGACAGCCAATCATATTTGCGCGTTACATGTATATATATGCATGTCGACCTGCTGACATATTTGTTTGTCTACCTCCATTCATGTACCCTTTTCCCGAATTTATCTGATTTGTGCCACGATCAACGATTGCGGTGTGACGGCGTCGATTTCTTTGATTTTGTTACGTATTGTGTGCGTTTTCACAGTATATCGACATAGTATATACAATTTATTTGTTGACATAAAATTACACTCAAGCTATGTGCAGCTTCGTGCGCAGCTCGTTTCAGTGCAAACCAGAAGGCAGTACGGCGTATAGCTGCGCACATGGTGTCGCCGGGTGTGTTTGTAAAAAATAGATGGAAGCTGCAGAAATTAGGTTTATGAACGCAGCCATGTAATAAAAAAAGGCATTCATGATAAAACTCAATGGAATTCAATTTCTACTCTAAAATGAACAAATATTAAAAGCATACATTACCTCCTTCGGCTATACAACACAGTGGATTTGAGAGTATAAACAAGTTTTCTCCAAAAAAACACATAGATGCACTGGCTAAATCGTCAATGATTATAATTCGTTAAATTAAATGGTTTCTCCATTGTCCCTCCACAACTTAAGGTCTCCGATTGACATCCACTGGGGTACTGACATTTAACAGAATCTGTAGGTATGTGTAAAAAAAAAATAGTTTATCTTAGTGTATATCCCGTGTTGAATATGGAAGCATAACAATGCAATTGTACATGTAAACGCACACTAGGTAAGAAGTTTTCTCATTGTTTTCTCGTTGTTATTGATAACACATACACCAAAAATGGGCATTTTTCCTACATTTATAATAAACAACATTTCTTATAACACAACTGATTTTTTTTGATAACATTATCTTTAGAACAAAATAAACGAATAGATATTTAATACAAATTTAAGTAATACACTTTGGTCGATTACACAGATCACAACAACATTCATCAATTAGCCCCCTTTTACCATTATGAACTAATAATTTCAGCAATTTAGTGTGTAGTGTGTATGTACACGTAGAATCTCGGATTTTTTGATAACGCTATTGTGGTTATGCATGTTCTTAAATTCCAATGTTTTGCTCTTCATACGCTTCCGAATTGTGAACTTCATATTGTCCGAAATGTTTGACTATATTATATGTATTGCTCTGACCACCTTTTATCCATTCACTAAATCTGTCGGACACTATTTGTATATTATTTGATTAATATATTGTTATTTTAAATATTAGTTGAAATACAACATTTAAGTCATATGGTATTGTTCTTATTGCTGTATTGCAGATACAAACTGCACACTTACACGTTGGATGAACACATGGATACCCACACTGACACCGTGCATCGTATCCCTGGGATTGGTAAATGCCCGAATTGTACAGTGGATTTGGCTGCTTACATTCTCCACCAATGTCAGTACAGGATTCTGAAATCACATGAGATATGAAAAACCGATAGATGGAAGTTGATCAATTAAAACACACCTAAAACTCAACCTACCATGTTATGCTGTTATGTTATGTAATGCTGTTATGTATGTCAGGTAATTCAATGTTATGTTATGTTATGTTATGCTATGTTATGTTATGTTATGTTATGTTATGTCCCATTGAACTTCACATATGTAAAATAATGTTGTTCTTACATAACTATAGTATTACCTCTTGCCTCATAACCTTGATGATCATGACCCCACCGGATAAAGCATTTCATGTGACGATTACACTTGTTATGCTCCAGACAAAAATTATTTTCTGCAAAGCATCCATCATCAATGCTAACATTAGCTCTGTCATCCATACAGTAACCAGAATTGTCACGTTCATCCCAACATGAATAGCCTGTGATGTCTGAAACAAACAGTGTTATGTAATAACTTTGTTAAGGCGTGTAGACAGAATTGAATAACATCGACCTAATTGTTTTCATGAATGCTTTCGAATGGCACAAATGATATATACCTAATTAAAATCAATCAAATTTGTATTTGCTATACCAGAAAATACATGTATCACTACTTAACACCCTGATATGATTCCATTCATTATTCTTGCAAACTTACCATGGCGTGACTCAATGTAGTGTTTCAACTGAAACAAAAAAATAACAACTGTTACTGAATATTCATTTACATGGAATTTGTATCAAGCTATAATTATACAAGTCTAAGTGTCGCCACAGTTTTGAATAATTTGGTGGAAATTAACAAGTTTTTTGTTTTTTGGTTGTTACTTACTTAGCCTCTATCAAGGCGGATTCAAGAACATAGTGCAGTTCGTAATTTCTAATTTAAAATAATACCTAAAACATTGTTTAGATAACAAATTACGTAAATCCCCGACAATATGTAAGATAATAGTGTATTATTCCATTAATATTCATCATAATTTAAAAAAAATAAAATTACTATACCTCATCGCCATGTTTGACTGATAAAACAGTGTCAACACACAATAACATAGTGATGCAAAACATTAAATTGATTCGCATTCTATTGAAAAAAATAAGGTTATTTTAATTAATACACGTGTACTGCAGAAAATTAATTCAATAGACTTGAAGCTGGCATTGGCATTGCTTACAAGACAAATGAAAATATATAATCAGAATTTCCTGATATTTTCCTTGCTATTGGTACATAATTTGACCTGCCAAAAAACACCATTTTGATATACAGTACTTGTTAAAGGGAAAGTCAAGGCCAATGTCATAATACTTCTAGATGAAAGAAATCGGCAAATGTGAGAACATGCAATTTACATTTTTTATATTACTTTTTATTCTCTAAATATTCAACATTTCATTAATTTACTTAGTCCATCATCTTGAATTTTCAGCAAAGAATCATGGTTAAAGTATGACATCATATGGAAATAGAAAAAATGAATTCATATATAACTTCAAAAGTTGAACTTCAAATTAGATGAATGTTTAGCATACATGTGCCAAATGCTCAAATCTCCTTGTATTGTTTACAAGTTATCGATGTGAGTAGGTTATATAGATGGCATATAAACCTGTTGACCACAAAAAGGGGACAAACAAGTGTCATTCAAGTTTTTACGACTAAAATAAAGATTGTTAATCTGTTACGTTTTTGGCAGTATCTACACTTTATGTGTATTACAATATTACAATAATTTACAGAACAAGTACACCGAAAATATGACCTAATTCGCATCAAAATTTCTCACGTCATAGAATACATTTTCTCATTTTTCACAACAGTGGATATGGTGGCACACTTTACACTTAATCATTTGTTTATACAATCAAGTTGGCGGACTACATAATGAAAATGGGAATGAAAAGTGATAAAAAAACACAGTACAAATAAATACCTCCTCTTAAAAGTTTGGGAAGCATCGAACAAACGAATTTTCGCGGCAATAACACATGCAAAGTCATGAACAGATATCTAAGTAGTGTACATGTTGTAGCAAATTTCAGTGCTGTACATCTATGACTATTCCCACTATATAAAACTATCTTTCAACACTTTCCGTTACTTAAATTAAACAGGGCCTTAGCAAACATGTGAGCTAAACCACGATACGTTTTTTTTCCCGTTTATGCTTACTAGCTAAGACCAAATAAAAAAGGCCAGAAGGCCGATCTTTCGTGCTCCTAGATCTCGAACATATTCTCGAACACAGCTACACCATCTATTAACTGGAACATTCAAACATTTTCCTGTGCATTTAATTTTCAGATAATTATTATTAATAATCAAACAATTTTGTGCTGTATCGGATGCACTAAAATTGCAACACAATTGTCAAGCGATGACAATAAAGATGACATTGACCATGGCCGTAAAGAATGACATAACACTTTAAAATAAAACAAAAAAAAATCGTAACTAAAAATTAAAACTTGTTCCCCGGCCATTATTTTCAAGTTGCCGCTGGTATCAAGTAGGATTGTTCAGTTCTTATAGTGGTTGTTAATTTAAGCAATATTAAACTGCCTAAAAACTGCTCTTACACCCCAGCTTTGTTAACAAACTCATAAAAGGTTAAACTTGATAATCATTTTTGGAATAACAAATGGATTGCGTTTGACACAAACACTAATCGTTTATATTTTGGTTTGCGTGTGAATTTGGTTACCATGGAATTAATAATTTTAGAAATGATTCAATTAAAAGCTGTGATTTAACAAAAAAATACTTCAACGTGTGCGAATTTGCGTCACTACTCGATGAATCTATTATTGCTGTAAGTTAGTCACATTACCATTAATTCTTTTCAGATACTGAGTGGCATTTGCAGACGTTTTTTTTTCTTGCTGTTTAAAAGTTATTTTGTGTTTCTCAAAAATAGTATAATATAACAAAAATAACCACTCCACAAGCGGAATAAACAACTCGATTTTTGTAATATACTATATATCGTTTCTATATGTCGTAAAACTAATCCAAATAGTTAATTTTACACTTATAAATGTATTCATTACACATTTATTAATTTTATTATGCGAGTGTGAAACGTATTGCTCCTCCAATGTCTTTTGTCGCGGAAGTAGCATCAAAATAAGGGTGTTGAAACAATGTTATGTAATATTTAGAGAATATATATATATATTGAATATATAAGAGATCAAAGAGGTTATTTGAACAATAAAACAGACAGTTTGGTCACTTACCTGAACTGTTAGTCAATACGAAATAGAAGAGAGTAATCAGCAACCAGTCCGCTCTGCAATGAAATATTGTGATTTGTAGTATCGTTTTATAATAAAATTTGTTTCGATTTATAATCCATACATCAGGTGATCACGCATGCATGTGCAGATGTTATGTGTTATTAACTACAGATTTGTCTATGATTGGCAGTGGATAAATGAATTAAACATCATCTGACTGCAAATTAGATTTCCGGGGTGACAACTGTTCCTCTATGATGAGAAAATAGAAAATGATGCAATACATGCAATGAATACATGTTCTAAAATATATTAAACTACATGCCAGCTTTTATAGTAATGTTGCATATTATGTATTGCAAATGAAAAAAAACCCAGAAAGTACTCAGAATATCACATATTCGATGTAATTGATAACGTGGTCTAAACTGCTTTGTTAGATTTGTTGACAATCATTAGAATGTGTTCAGAATTGAATGGATCAGTTAGCTTAAAAACTAAGGTTGGTAGCGATACATACATTTTGATTGCAAGGAGAATGGGAACTGAACAATTATTTTTCGATTTCAGGTATAAAAGCAAAATATCATTATATTGCAAAAAAAAAAAAAAAAAACATTTCGCAAGACTTTGTGCAGTCTATGTGCATGTACGTTACCCGGTGGTTATACATCCTCTGATCATTATGGCATTAGTTGCATGTTACCCAGTGTTTGCAACAGTGTTTGATCCTTGAAATGCATTTAACATGAATTTATAAGGCCATCCGTTATGTCAGTCATTTCTCTTGTCAAATACCATCACTATGGTACTGGTTACATGTGCATATGAACAAAAGTGCTTGAGATTTTACAGATATGCATAGTGAAGTCACATGACCATTTGGTATATTAGTCATATCAGTGATTCCATATTATATCTGGTTACATGGTCCTATCTGTCACAGTGTTTGAGAACATGAAGATATGCATATTAATAAGGTTCTATGAAATGTTACTAGTGAACACATGATCTTCTTGACAAACCCCATCGCCGTCATCAGAAATAAAAAATATTTTTTTTAACAATGATACTATACCCAGTCCTGGATAACAAATGCTGGTAATTGAGATGTCAGCTTGTACAGGATGAATCATAAAAAACAGGA